TTGGCAAAGCAACCATTCCATCATTAAGTTCCCCAACATCTGTTTTGTGATGGCCCTTTCTTCATTTCCATTTTAAGAAGTTATCTCAACACCTACTCCCTTTGCCAAGTTTGTGTTTGACAAGACATTTTGGATAATCTCATGTGATAATTTAAGGACCTCTTTTGCCAAGTCAAATCCTGAACTAGCAGTGTCATATTTTCTTTTGAGAACCAGATTTTCACTGTTCTCAAAACTAAGTAGATTAGATAACCAGTTACATTTTACAATTTTGAGGACTGCCTGAAAATATTTGGTTACAACAATGCAGTTCCAAGAAATGGAAATCATTTAAAGCTATTTTAAGGCCCCAATAAGTTTCATACATTCAATTTAGTGTTGACAAAATCATTCTGAATGGATGGAAGTGTGGACTCTAGATTGGTCTTCACAATTGATTCTCAGAACAAAACTATGGAATTGGCCCAACAAGAGAGCTGCTACTTCTTTTACGAAGAGGTAGGTGGGAAATCAGAAGGCTGCAATTGGAGTTCTTGACACTACACGTGCTGCCATCCAAGAATCAGGAAACTTTTGTTGCTGTGGCTGCAACTATCTCCCAGTAGTCACAAATCTGTCTAGTCGCCAGAATACTGACACAGAAAACTCAATGTCCAAAATCTCACTTTCAGGATCAAACCAAAGCAACAGGAAGATAATCTCTTTATTCCTACTCTCCAAATTTTGAACAGTTTCATTTAATTTCAGATTAATTTGCACAAATTAATTTGCACTGAAAATTACAACTGTGGGGCCGGCTCCATGGCCGAGTGGTTAAGTTCGCGTGCTCCACTGCGGTGGCCCAGGGTTCGGATCCTGTGCGCGGACATGGCACCACTCGTCAGGCCACATTGAGGCAGGGTCCCACATCCCACAACTAGAAGGACCTGCAACTAAGATATACAACTATGTACCGGGGGAGGGGGGCGGGGAGGTTGGGGAAATAAAGCAGGAAAACAAAAAAAGATTGGCATTGGCAACAGTTGTTAGCCCAGGTGCCAATCCTTAAAAAAAAAAAAAAAAAGGAACATTGGCAACAGTTCTGTTAGCCCAGGTGCCAATCTTTAAAAAAAAAATTTTAAAAAAGAAGAAAATTACAACTGCAAAAGAGATCTTCAAATATTGTGTTAGCTATTTAAGCTCTGATTTAGAAGAAGGCACACCAGAAGAAGATTGAAGCACATGCTGTCTACCTGTTTACCATTTACCATACTCCAATTTGAGTTAAATTAAAAAGGCCAATGAAACGTGGAGAAGGGATGATGCAAAAAAGGCTCTCTGCGGTCTATCTTTCAGAACATCAAGGTTGAAGAGCAAATACAAGAATCTTCTGTAGCAGTGGTAGTTGGAGGTGGGACAACAGTAATAGAAATATTCATGTACAACACTACACAACTTAGCTGCAATGAAATAATTCAAACCAACAGAAGATTTCTTATTAGCAACCCTAGTGTCAAGGATACAGTGAAGAAGTTCCTTAGGATTATGAGCTAAAATGATTTTGAAGCTGTACCATTCAGTATCTATTTCCACTTCTTTACACACTGAAGAGTTTAGCAAATTAATTTACATACCTAAAAAACTCTCATGGTTGCTGTCTTGGAATTGGAATCAATTAGACTCCCACTCATACCTGAACTAAAAGGAAATAAAAATCCTTATCTACCAACATCCAGTCTTCAGTTTTGTGGGCATCAAAAAGCAATTACGGAGAAGGAAAGGTCCAAAATCAGTGTCTATTTACCAGTTAGGTAGGTGAACATAGCAGTGATGCTGGCTTCTTGGGCCTGGCTTACTGGTTCAGGGGTCCAACACTACTGTATATTTTTCAACTCAATATTCTGAATGTGGCATGAGTTATAGTGCCCTAACACGTTACTTCTCTGTTACACAGAAAGTCATTCTTAAAGGCAGTCCAAGAACCTATTCCTCTAGTATTTTCAATAAGTTTTTGAGAGTTAAACTCTCTTTCTTAAATCTCTTTCAAATTGAAATAGACATTGTTTTCCTAAGAGTGAAACTAGGATAAGCCATCCCCAGTGATGCTCCTTGAACAGACTTATTTATTTTAAATGTGTGCCCTGTATTTGTTTGGAGATATAGTGTGCAAATTACAAGAATTCTAGCTCTAAAAAACTCCATAATTTTAAAACCATAGCATTTTATTAATCTTCTAAGTTGTATTATGTTCTGTTAACATTCTCTAGAACCAGCGTTTTGGAAACAAACTATGAGAAAGGCAACATTAAGCAGTTTATTTTATGAAAAAAGCACTTAAGGGATTCCTGAGCATCCATCAGAATAAATCATGTGTTCCTTTCATTAAAAGTTTTGAAAGTGAATTTTATTGTCACGTAGATGAAAGTTATTAGAATATTAAAACTCCACCACCTGATTGAAATGCAGACTTTCCCTCAGGCTCCTCCTATTAAATCTTTATTGGTTTCTAACTATCAAGAAATTGGGATAGAGTTAATATCTGACCTGAGGAAACAATATGCTCACAGAAAATGAAATAAAATATTAATAAATTGAAATTAAAAACAACATAAAGATTTAGATCTTAGAGCAATATCTCCACAACTCCACTGAGAACAACAAATTAAGTCATTATGGGAGATCAAATTTTCCCCCTTATGTAAGAATATTTAAAAATATTTTCCCATAGCCAATAGGAGTCTTCAAGGTCCAACAATGTGTTCACTTCTAAATACTGCTCTGGAAAAGTGGGTAATATGAGGTATTGTTTAAGAATATTTTATCAGGGGCCAGCCCCGTGGCCAAGTGGTTAAGTTTGCATGCTCCGCTGCAGCAGCCCAGGGTTTCGCTAGTTTGGATCCTGGGCGCGGACCTGGCACCACTGGTCAGGCCACGTTGAGGCGGCATCACACATGCCACAAATAGAAGGACTTGCAACTAAGACATGCAACTATGTACTAGGGGGGTTTTGGGGAGATAAAGCATTAAAAAAAAGAAAGATTGGCAACAGTTGCTAGCTCAGGTGCCAATCTTTAAAAAGAAAAAAAACGAATATTTTGTCAAGTATGTATCATCGCATGGACGACTTGTGGTACTACATGCCAGATACATACATTTTTACTTGTATAGTTTTATTTCATTAAAAACAATAACATAATATTTTATTTATGCAAATTTTAATACTTCAAAGGAAAAATGCAACACAAATGAAAAAATAAACTATTTCAAAACTAAAATTCTATTGCCTTTATGGAACATTTTACATAATTATTTCCTGTGGTGGATTAAGGACGGCTGCAAATCAGTTGACATTTCTCCCATTAAGATGTGAATCTATGACCTTGCACCTTGAAATCTGTGTGGTCATGGTGATTACTTTGACGAATAGAATATGGCAAAAGTGATGCCTTGACAGTTTTCTGTCCTAAGTCTTAGAGCTGACTGCTTTCGCTGCTTCTGTTTTAATATTCACTTGGAACTGAGCTGCCACGCTGCGAGAAAGTACAAGAACTATGGAGGGATCCACATGAAGAGAAACAGGAGCACCTCACCACAGACTTGGTGGTGCTCCTGAGTGAGCGCCAGCTCTAGCTTGCAGCTATGCCAGCGGGCCAGTTTGGAAGGGGATCCATGGTGAGCTGCTCTAGATGACATCATGTAGAGCAGATATGGGATTTGCCTACTAAACCATACCTAATCTGAAGATTTGGTAGTACGTAAAAGGTTGTTCTTGTTTTAAGCCACAACATTTTGGGGGTAATTTGTCACATAGCAGGAGATACCCAGAACATAATTTGGTAGTGGAAGTAGAATATTGCTGTAACAAAAACAAAAAACATGGCATGTTGTTGCAAGTTGAACCTAGAAGGATTTACAGAAGGATATTAAAACTTAGAAGGATCTCAAGGACACTTTTGGTGAGGGCTTGAAAGACATTGAGTAAATATGTGAGAGACTGGATAAAAGATGATCCATACTGTGTAGTAATGGAGAACATAGTGTTGTCTGCTGCAACATAGGAAAGGAAACTATACCTATTAAAATGGTAGAAATTGCAAAGGAGGTTGATAATCAGAATATCAAAAATGCCAGTTGGTTTCTTTTAGCTGTAGATAATAACATATGTGAAGAAAGAAATAATCTAAAGATGGAACTGTTAGGTCCTTGCATAGGATATAGATGAAATACAAAAGGACCATGATTTTCCAGTTTTGAAAATAAAGCTGCATTTATCCCAGTCTCTCTGGTAAGTTAAGAAATAGCTTTGGGGCCAACCCCGGTGGCCCAGTGGTTAAGTTTGGCATTCCTGCTTTGGTGGCCCAGGTTTGATTCCTGGGAACAGACCTCCACCACTCAGTGGCCACGCTGTGGTGGTGACCCACATACAAACTAGAGGAAGACTAGCAAAAGCTGTTAGCTCACAGCAAATCTTCCTCAGAAAAAGCGAAAATAGGAGAAGGAAAAAAAGAAATAGTTTCAAGGTAAAGATCAAATACGAGAACATCCAAGGAAAACATGACAAAGTTAAAAGGTGTCAGATGTGGCTATCAACTTTATAAATAATTGAGAAAGATTTAAGGATATGTCTAATAAGATTTCTAAGAATCCTATTAGACTCTTCCAGTTTTAATATAGGGCTTTAGAAAGTCTAAAATTCAGGTATGGAAGACTCACAAAGAAAAAGGTATAGAAAGGTCTTTTTGGAAAGCTACCTTGTGGAAAAAGGATTACTCAGAGGGACAAATCAAGAACCGAGAAGATACAGCCAAGATCTGAGGGCCACAACTTTTGGCCGGAGAAATGAAACAATCAAACAAAACAAAACTAAACATTTTCTACACAAAGATCAAAGGGAATTAGTAATACATGCCCAGCTGGATTTCAGAAATGCTATGCACCAGGGCTTCCCATTTTCTAGATGTGTTCTATTTTCCCCTTTTGGAACAGGACTGGCTATTATGACATACCTATGACTGACCTGTGTTGGATATGGAGGTAGGGAGTAAATAGTCTTTCTCCTTAATTCATAGTTTATACATCTGAGATTACTGGATGTAATCAGATTAATGTAATTCACTGTTAGTCTGAGGTTACTGGAATAATCTTATACAAACCTGGATCTGATTTAGATAACTATATTCTGGACCTTGAACCTGAGCCTGATGCCATTAATGGAAAGATCTAAGAATCTTGAAAGGATATGAGTGTATTTTGTATATAGTACTATTGTGAGTGGAGGTCAAAGGGCAGATTTTGGTAGCTTAATGATAGCCACAAATTCACTGACGCTCCTGCCATCAAGAAGTGGGCTAGCATTACTTGTCTTCAGGTTTCCATGGGCTCTGTAACTGGTTTGACCAATAAAATATAGTGGGAATAATGTTATATCATTATTCCAACCAACCCTTTGAGTCTTCCCCTTTCTGTGTCCTTGAATATTTGTTCTTAGAATGTAACTTCCATGCTGTATGGAAATCCAAGCAGCCCTGTGGAGTGTACCACGTGGAGAGAAACTGAGGTCCCTGGTTGACAACCTAGATAAGTCCTCACCAACAGCCAATCCTAATTTGTCAGCCATATGAATAATTCATATCGAGATGTATCTTCCAGGCTCTATCTTTGAATTGTCTATATCAAATCACCATTATACAACATTCCTCAAGCAGTATAAAACAGAATGTTATCTCACACTTATATTTATATTTGTTTTTGACATCCCTTCTTTGTTAATGTAATTAGTGTTATAAGAATTAAATATGAAGCGTATTTTAATTTGTGAATGCTTCCTAAGTGAAGTGGGTTTTATGTATTTTTATGCAGAAAATATCTGTTTCACAGAAACATTTCTATGTAGATATATTTATCATTTCTTGCATTATTTTTTAAAGTTTTATTTTGAAAGCTTGGATTTGTTCACAATTTTTCCTAGCATTATTATATAACGTCTACTGTAGGGAAGTAAAGAATTTGGGATCATAAAGTACAGATGAAAATAGAGGAAAAACTAGTTAACAGAGTTGTGGTCGATTAAAGCTCAAAATACTTAATAGTAGTGCAGATGCTAAGCAATAAAGGATCAGAAAAGAAATATATTGGAATCCTATGTAGTAATGTTGACCCACAACTCTCATGGGATATAATAATTGCCTAAAATGTCTCGCTCAATACATGCTTTGTATTCTGTACTTCTTTTTTATACAATAAAGTTATGAGATATCTTAAAACACAATCAGTTTTGGTTATGCTCAATAAATTTGTTCCAGAGATCTGCAATACAACATTGTGCTTATACTTAATAATATTGTATTGTGCACTCAAAAATTTAAGAGGGTTGTTCTTATATTGTGTCTTTACCTCAGTTTTAAAAAGAGATCTAGTTCAAATCCTACCAACTACAAGAAAGCTTTCCTAAATAATTTAGTCCCATTTCTGTGGCTGTGTAATTCTTATCCATTACTCAAGTGATTCAACTTGATAAATTAGTAGAAATTTACATGTTAAGCAACTTATTTCATATTTCCACCATTTACATCCTCAGCACATGAATGTTAGGAATATAAAAAGTACTCAGCAAAAACTTTCTTTCAAGCTTGCTTTTATTGAGTATTTTAACCTTCTTGAAGTTAATGACAATATCATCTTCTTTATTTCATTTATAAATTAATATATTTTGACCCTCCAAAAAATTCATGAATGGAGAAATATATTTGAAATATTAAAGAGCTATTTGATTTTCATTTTTTGGAAAACTTTAGTCAGGGAAATATATTCAAAGGCTCAATGCAGAAGTTTACCAGTGTTGGGGTTATGAAAATATTCTAAAATCTATTGTGGTGATGGTTGCACAACTCTGTGGATATACTAAAAATCATCTAATTTTGCAGTTTAAATATGCCAATTGTATGATATGTGAATCATATCTCAATAAAGCTGTTATTTCTTTTAAAATGCTTATATATTTCTCTGGCAGGAAATTAGAGACATGGTAGCATGAGGAAGATTTGACAGACCACCACTGGCAGGAAAATAGCACGTAAGAATGAATACAAGTGGCCTCTAGGAGAAAAGAATGGACCCTGACTGTCAACCAGCAAGGAAATGGGGACCTGAATCCAACCCTTAGTCTGAGACAACTGACCACAACTGAGTCAATCGCTTGAATGAGCTTAAAAGAGGATTCTTTCCCAGAACCTCCAGATAAGAGCTCAGCCTGGCCAAAACCTTGGTTTTGGACTTGAGATACCCTCATCAGAGAACACATTTTAGATTGCTTTGATTTCTAATTTACAGAACTGTGAGATCGAGAAAATAATAATAAAAAGGTGCTAGAAGCTGCTATATTGAGGTAATGTTATGCAGCAAAACAATAATTGTTGGAACAAAAAAAATCCTGATCCCAGGCCATAGTAATTATTTTGCGTAATCTCTAAGTTTAAAAGCCAGGATGCAAAGGGATGTTTATTTTATTGGATTGCACAGATTAGGAAGGAAATTAAAAATCTGAGTCCCTAAAACAGAATTATTGTCAATGTTTTGTATGTAGGATAGGGAGAATCTGTTATAATAATCTCTTGTTCTTTCCCTTCTGAAAAGAAAAGGAAATTTCAATGTTTAAAGAGTAAAGCTAACTAAGAGAGAGTCAAAGGCAAGATATGAGGAGAAAGTGTAACAATATCTAACTGCTTTGTATTAGTTAAAAGGATTTCATTTGGATAAATCATCCAATGAAAATTCTGATATGAAACTGAGATTGTTGGACCATATCAAGGGCCTGCATCAAGAAAAATCAGGACATTCCTTATAAATTAAAAGGGAAACATATTTTATTTGGAAGCATCAATAAATCCTTGAAATCAATCCCAGGGAGATTAGAGGAAAACAATAAAAAAAAGGATCATCAATGTTGTAAAAGATACTTTGGCCTGGCCATTCTGTTAATTATTAATTTCATGTAGTCTATTTCATGTAAAATATCTAGGATAGTATTTTTTTGTGAAGTGGAGATTATGTTGTTTGTCTCAAAGGCCTATTGTGAGGTTGAAACTAAATACAAGTTCTTATGAAATTTCTCTAAATCTAAGTATATAACAGAAGAAAAACAACGAATGTGAGTATCATACCAAATGAACACAAGACTTCAAAGTCTTCAAACACGAGAAAATTATATATTAAAAATATCTGATTAACTTATTTATAAGAGTATGGTAAATAAACTGTATCTGCACATTAAGGCCTTTGGCATACTTTAAGTAGATAATACACAGAAAATGGACTGGATGAATAGCTAATATTTGGACTTCCATCTTGGACAAGTAAAAATATAAGCATAATTTTCAAGTATTATTTCTGAAAACTGAGGTTGTTAGAGCGGAGTAAGACAGAGTTGACTCACAAACCATATTTATAAATGTGCTACATTATATTAAAAAGTTTCTGCACAGCAAAAGAAACAATCAACAACATGAAAAGGCAACCTATGGAATGGGAGAAGGTATTTGCAAATCATATATCATATAAGAGGTTAAAATTGAAAATATATAAAGAATTCATACAACTCAACAGCAAAAAGCAAACCAACTAGCAAATGGGTGGAGGAACTAAATGAATGTTTTTCTAAAGAGACATCCAAATGGCCCTCAGGTACATGAAAAGGTACTTGACCTCACTAATCATCAGGGATCTGTAAATCAAAACCACAATGAGATCTCACCTTACACCTGTTTACAAAGGCTATCATTAAAAAGACAAGAAATAATGTGTTGTCAAGGATATATAAAAAAGAAACCCTTGTGCACTGTTGGTGGAATGTAATGTGTACAACCACTGTGAAAGCCAGTATGGAGTTTCCTCAAAAAATTAAAAATAGAACCAAAATATAATCCAGCAATCCTTCTTCTGGATATATATCAAAAGGAAATGAAAACGAGATCTCAAAGGGATATCTGCACTCCCGTGTTCATTGCAGCATTATTCACAATAACCCAGAAACGGAAACAAGCATGAAGGAGTAAAGAAGATGTGTTATATACACCATGGAATATTATTCAGCCATGAGAAAGAAGGGAATCTTGCCATCTGTGACAATATATATGGACCTTGAGGACATTATGCTAAGTGAAATTAGACAAAGAAAGACAAATACTGCATCGCATCATTTATGTGTGGAATCTAAAAAAGCCAAACTTATAGAAGCAGAGAATAGAGTGGTGGTTACCAGGGCCTGGGTGGTGGGGGACATGGGGAGACTCTGGTCACAAACTTCCAGTGATAAGATGAGTAAATTCTGGGGAGGTAATGTACAAAATAGTGATTATAGTTAATAATATTATATACTTGAAAGTAGATCTTAAATGTTCTTACCACAAAAAAATGGTAATTATGTGAGGTGATGGATGTGTTAGCTAATGTCATGATAGTATCCATTTTGCAACATATGTGTATCAAATCAATATGTTGTACACCTTAAATTTACGCTATAATATGTCAATTAAATCTCAATAAAGCTGAATCCATAGTTCAATCCAAACATTGATATGAATGGGCTAGGCAGTTATACAGACAACAGATAAAAAGCACACATAAAATGTCAAAGGCAGTAGAAAAAGCAAGTAGAATAGAAAGAGAAGGTAAAAAGCAAGCTCATTTGAGATGCGGAGCCTGAAGAGTTGCTCTAAATTGCAGGGGAATAGTCCCTGGTCACGTTTGATGGGATGCTGTTTGGTAGCCCTAATGTAATCTCATTAACATTAATGTGCTCGTGGGGCCTGGGAGAAGATTTTAATAATACTAACTATGGCCATCTGGGATAAGCCAAGTTTTTGTTGATTCTCAAGCCAATTTTACTTGGGGAGTTCTTTCTTAACGAGAAGAACACTAAAATTTTGAATGTGAAATAGGATATAGACTGATCTGTTCCTGGCAGTGAATCATTTTTGAAAAGATACTTTCTTTATCGGTTATTGTATCAAGGAGAATGAGATGGAAGAATCTGAATATTTATCTAATGTTGAGAGAAGCCATGTAAAATTGATCATTACTCTGTGTGACTGTTGGATTGTCAGAACTTATTTCTTCAACAAAGAACTTTCTTTGTATATCTTTTCTCTAGGGTCTTCTAAACTTTGGATATATTCAACATGACTGAATTTTTGTGGTTTGTGGATTTTGAGGCTTTACAATGCTTTCAATTATAAGACAGGCCCTGTCAATTTCCACACAGAGTTTAAGAAAGCAGAACTTCTTCCTAAAAAATTGATGGGACTGACTGGGCAACAAGAGAAATTGGCTATTCTGAGAACTACAAGAAACAAACGAAGCCTTTTATTCCCATATTTTAAGATTCTGTCAAATGAGTCCACAAAAAGTAAAAAATAGAGGTAATTTTCAGAAAACATTGGGCTGTGAAGGCAATCAAAGCAATTGTCATCCCATCAAGACCATGTGTTGCATCTTACACTAGGAGCTGTGGAATTAAATATTCTAAATTACTAATCATGCATATTTACCAAACAGAAGCAAATATTTATTTTACCCAGCACCTATTCTGTAACAGGTACTTTTCTAGGGATTGCAGAAAAAAAGAAGAAAAAAAGTCCCTGTGTTTATGAAACTGAGAAGTGGAGACCAACAATAAAGAAATAAACAAGCTAAATATTTACTAAGGCCTATGGTTAAATTTATGTTTGAGTAAAAAAAAAGCAAGAGAGGAGAATAGAGTGATCAGGAGAAGGCTGGCATACGAGTTACATTTTCAACAATGTGCAGAGAAAAGGCTTCACTAAGGATATAGAATTTGCATGACTTGAAGAAGCAAAGGGAATGAGTCTTGCAGATATTGAGGGGGTAGGAGTTTCGACAACAAACAGCAAGGACGAAGGCTCAAGTTCATCACATCAGTTATAGCTTTGGTAAATCTGACCTTTGACTGCTTGCTTTGAAGATGGCAAGAGCTGAGCCTGGCATCACTCTTCAGGAATTGCAATTGTTTGTTTACTTGTATTCATTTTCTAAACTTTGAGGCCAGTAGATGCTTTGAATCCCCCTCTCTTGGGCATCTTCATGGATGCTGTTGATGTTTCAGCAGTTCCTATAAAATAGGTCCTTGACTTTCCATCTATTCTCTTCAGTCAGTTTTCATTCCATCACTTTGCTCACAATTATCAAGTTGTGTGCTATAAATTGATCTCTACCCACACCCTACCTTGCTTATCCCATGCTGCTATATCGATCATGAGCACTTGCACTTGAGGCTTAAAATTTATAATATGTACAAATGTTTTAAGAATTAGAAAAATTAGTAGATCTCTTTACATTGTTTAAATATTAACATATTTGGACAGTAATCTTATCCTTATCCTGCTTAAAATTATTCAAAAACTGAGTCACAAGTAAAAGTGTCATTTCCAATATGTTTCCCTGTGTGTATCATGTGTGTTTTATATTGATAAATTTCTGTAAATTTGATTATTAACCTATCCTGCATACAATATCGAGTGGTAGTAAAAATTTATCTTTCTAAACACTGTGCTCCAGAATTTCCCAGTTCAGAGAAATATGCTTGATGCTTTCTTAATATATAAGATCAAGTCCAGAGGTCTGTATAAATTGAATATACAATGTTTAAAGGAACTTGAAAATAAACAACAAAAATAACCTCCATGATCAATAAATATCTTTAGCAAAATTTGAAGAATAAACCGACTCATAAGGGGTATTTCCTAACTCTGAAATAAAATCTCAGAGAAATGTGACCTACTCTGCCATTCCAAACCATTTACTCAGGAAATTCCTAATGAGATCTTGATAGTACAGCTTCTCTGCAGATCTTTCCTGAATTTTAAACTACTACTTCAAGTGATCAAAATGGAGCCCGCCTGAATGAGAAAATTTACTCTAATAAGAATCAAACCTCTTTAGAATAGATACATATTAGGTGAAAAGTGACAGAATATGTTCAAAATGCAGAAATGAAAGAAAAGGGAGGCTAATTAACAGAAAATGTGAATGAAAACACTGTGATGGGAAAATAAAGATTGTTTTCAGAAAGTAGCTAGTTGTTATTTTTGACCACAAAATTACATATTTTCAGGAGTAAGACAGAACTAATAAGCTAGATAGAGTCCACATCATAGCAACAAATAGTTCTGGACATAGTGCTTGCAATTATCTTTGCGAGAACTAGGGAACTATTTAATGTAACTTAATTCTTTTAGTATAAATAGGAAATATATTGGTAGTAGCTATCTTTGTTTGAGAACTACTACAAGAAATGGAATCTCTAAATCACTTACCTATTACATATTTAAACTTCATAATACACCATGATGTAGGTATTATCTTAATTTTACACATGAGGTAAATATATTTGAATGGATAAAGACTACTTTTCTTTATTTTATATATTCTCTGATGTCAATTTACTGTTAATGAAAAACAATACATTATTTAAAGTCAATGTACTGTTGAAGAAAATGGTAAATGTATATTTTAGAATGTATAATAATTATAGAAGTAAATATATGACAAAAGAGCACAAAGACTATGAAAAGTGAATAGAATTAACTGTTGTAAAGTTTTCGTATTATATGTGAAGTGACATAATATTATTCAATGTATATTGTGATAATTTAAAGATGTGTATCATAATCCTTAGAGCAAACGCTAAAAGTAAGGAGAAGCAGTAAACTTTAAAAAACAAAGGTTCTGGTGGTAAGAGAATAAAATGCTACAAGTATTTTATAATCCAAAAAAACAAAAAGGCAAAGAAGAGAAATCATGGATTAAAGAATCAAGGGAACAAACAGGAAACAAACATTAACGTTAAACCTTAGACTTAAACCCAAAGCTATCAATAATTACCTTAAATTCTAATGGATGACCTTTTCCAAATATAAGGCAATGATTTTTGATTAAATTAAAAAACAGTATCTTAAAACATGAAGATACAGAGCCCTTGAAAGTAAATGGATGAAAAAAAGATGTAATATACAAACATTGAGCATAAGACAGCTTGTTAAGCTCCATTGATAGAAGAAAATCAGTCAAGAAGGAATAAAATCCAAGAATGTGAGGCTCATTCTGTAATGATTAAAAAAGGGTCATTTTATCTCTTTTGCCACATAGAAGCACAGAGAATACTTATTAACTCATTCTATGAGGCCAACATTACTCTAAAACCAAAACTAGACAAAGACATTACAAGGAAACCATAAACCAATATCTCTAATAGGTGTAGATCCAAAATCCTCAGTGAAATATTAGCAACTCAATCCAATACTTTGTAAAAAAGAATTATACAACACAACCCAGTGGGATTTATCCCAGGAGTGCAAAGTTCATTCAACATTTGAAAGCAATCAGTGTGATCCATCACATCAACAGACTAAAAAAGAAAAATCACATGATCATGTCAATAGAAGCTGAGAAAGCATTTGACAAAATCCAACACCCATTCATGATAAAAACTCTCAGAAAATTAAGAATAGAGGGGAATTTTCTCAATTTGAGAAAAAGCTACAAAAAAATCTACATTTAGTATACTTAATGATCAGAAACTCAAAGGTTTGTCAAGAAAATAAGATACAAGGCAAATATGTCCCTCTCACCATTCCTATTCAACACTGTACCGGAAGTCTTTCTTAAAACAATTAGGCACATAAAGGAAATAAAAGGTATATAGTATTGGGAAGGAAGACATAAAACTATCCTTATTTGCATGTAACATTATTGTCTATGTAGAAAATCTGAAAGAATCAATTTTTAAAAAGTTATAGTCACTAATAAGTGATTATAGCAAGATAGCAGGATACAAGGTTACAAAAATGTCAATTATTTTCCTTTATACCAGCAATGAACAAATGGAATTTGAAATTAGAATACAATATCATTTATATTAGCACCCCAAAAATGAAGTACTTAGGGGTAAATCTAACAAAATATGTATAATATCTATATGAGGAAAACTATAAAACTCTGATAAAATCAAAGAACTAAATAAACAGAGAGATATCCCTCTCCCATGGATGGGAAGACAATACCGTGACGCTATCAGTTCTTCTCAATTTGATCAATAGATTTAAGGAAATCCCATCAAAATCTCAGCAAGTTATTTTGTGGATATTGACAAACTGATTCTCCAGTTTATATGCGGAGGTGAAAGACCAAGAGTAGCCAACACAATATTGAAGAACAAAGTTGGAGGACTGACACTACCCAACCTCAAGTTTTTAAAGCCTTACTAGAAAGTTACAATAATCAAGACAGTGTGGTATTGAAGAAAGAATAGACAAGTAATTCAATGGAACAGACTGGAGAGCCCAGAAACAGACCTGCATAAATATAGTCAATTGATTTTTTATAAAGGAGCAGAGGTGATACAATGGAGCAAAGATAGTCTCTTCAACACATGGTGCTGGAACAACTGGACATCTATAAGCAAAAAAAAAATGTGTTTAGGTACAGAGTTTACATCCTTCACAAAAATTATTCAAAATGGATCATAGACCTAAATATAAAACACAAAACTATAAATCTCCTAGAAAATAATGTAAGAGAAACCTAGATGACCTTGGATATGGAAATGACTTTTTAGATACAACACCAAAGGCAAGATCCATGAAAGAAACCATTGATAAGCTGGACTTCATCACAATTAAAAGTTTCTGCCCTACAAAACACTGTCAAGAGAGGCAGACAAGCCACAGACTGGGAGAAAATTTTTGCAAAAGATACATCTGATAAAGGACTGTTATCCAAAATATGTAATGAACTCTTAAAACTCAACAATAAGCAAATAACAACTCAGTTAGAAAATGGGTCAAAGACCTTAACACCTATGTCATGAAAGAAGATATACAAATGGTAAATGAGCATATGGAAAGATGCTCCACATTATATGTCATTAGGGAAATATAAATTAAAACAGCAGTGAAATATCACTACATCCTTATTAGAATGGCCAAAACCCAGAACACTCACAACACCAAAATTCTTGTGAGGATGTGGAGCAACAGATACTCTCATTCAATCCTAGTGGGAATGCAAAATGGTACAGTCACTTTGAAAGACAGTTTGGTAGTTTCTTACAAAACTAAATATACTCTTACCATATGATCCAGCAATCTTGCTTCTTTGGATTTACCCAAAGGAATTGAAAACTTATGTCCACACGAAAACCTGCACACAGACATATGCAGCAGCTTTATTCATAACTATGGAAACTTGGTGGCAACTAAGAAGGCCTTCTGTAGTTGAATGGATAAATAAACTGCTGTATTTCTAGAAAACTGAATATTATTTAGAACCAATAAGAGATGAGATATCAAGCTACAAAATGACATGGAGGAAACTTAAGTGCATGTTGCTAAATGAAAGAAGAATTTCTTGAGCCAAATCCCAGGCAAACCCGTTCCCCTTGATAATGGAGTCCTATTGACCACACACACATTCACTGAAGTCGTAGTGGGTAAGATTACAACTAGTTCATGGAAACAGCTCAGAGTGCTTGTTCCACTGGGATGTTTCTTGGTGGAAGTTACAGCTCCCACCAGAGCCCAATAATGATTCAGACATTGTTTCCCAACAGGTGAATGTATGTCGGCATAGATATGTACAAAAACCATAGCTGTTGCTCGAAGCAGGTGATTCTAAGGTCCTCCCGGAAGCCAGTGTGAATTTCAATTGGAAAAGGTGTGTCTGGTGCCATTACCTATCTGCAGTACCAGAGAGGATCACCTAGAAGCCACCAGGAACCTCACTTTAGCCATCTTCTAGGCTGGTGCTTACAACTGATAAAGGAAGAAAAATGACTTCTTCTCTTCTGCCTGCATAATATTATGCAAATCCTCTCACTGGCAGAACTTCTACAAAAATCCCATCGGTAAGGTGATTCTAGAATTTATAATTCTAGACTTCTCCCTTGAAAATAGAGAAATGTTGATAATGAGAAGAGACAACTCAGAAGAGTACTGTGAACATCTAGGTTATTGGGCATCCTGTTGTTGAAGGGAAATTCTCACCTAATGTTTTATATTCCTTTGAAGTGTTAAAATGGACAAGTCCCTATTATCACAGGTATATCTTGAATGAGGTTTCTCTTTGAGATAAATTTTACATTTTCTGTAACTAATAACATCTAAATTACATGTAATTTACTCTTTAAGCTTATTCATCTTCGATTTCTTAAAATCTGGATTGTGAATAACTGAAAAACAGTTTATTGTTTTATTACGAGTTTTCCTATCATTTTATCTAGGGAGAAAAATCAAAAGGGTTAATTAAAATTCCCACCATTACTTGGCGAAAGTGCGTGAATATTGAATAGTATATAAATAAAATTCCTGTAACACTAGATTAGTCAGGACAGACCAACTCCCATTAAAAAATACAATGAATTTTAGTATCTTCGCATGATAAAAGTGTCTATATATACATATATGAATTTTAGCTGATAATATTCCATTAGCCAAAAATAAGTCACATAGCAAAATCTGAGATAAAATGTAACTATGAAATATGAACAAATTCTATATTTATGAAATATAGAAAATATATGTTAGTAAGTATTAGCAATTTCTGCCATAAACTTAGCAGGTTTGTAATATATCCATGAGTGTCAACTTTTGATGAATTGGTAATTCAGAGACATTACAAAACAAACATGGTTTCAAAAGAGTTGAAAATATTCAAAATAAACACATTATTTGTGGTTACTAAAATTAGGATTAATTTTTAACTAATAGTTTTGTATATCAATACAATTTTGATACTAAAAACTTAAAAAGTAAAACTATAGCTGAATGATAGCCACATTTTATAGTTATGAAAGAAGAGTTAATCCAAACAGTTTTCAAACACACATGCTATCATACATACACACATACACAAATATATACGTAAATGCATATATATTTTTGTAGTTTAATGGCAAATGCTAGAATTCTTGTCACCTATCTACTATGTTGTCTCATTTCTAGAAAACTTTATAATTACTTTAAAAAACAATCATTGATTTTCATATTTGTTTTTGAAACAAATATTTATAAATTATTACTGAGTTATATTAGTTTTTTATGACATTATGTGCTATTTATAAAAATATCTGTAGACTGTAATAGTCAAAGCCTGCAATGTTTTTATCGTGTGCTTCTTGTCCTTCTTGTGCTATGCAAAATGATAACATGCATGCTGAATATGTAACTCTTCAGATAAACACATTTACAAACTGTTTCCCAAATCAATTCCTGTTCAGATAATTTATGGCTGTCAATTATTTTCAGCTGTCTGTGTGATAGGCCAGTACCTTTTAACTAAAGTTTTCATCTCAGCACAACACTGCAGCTGAAAATGTGTTTTAAGAAGTAAAATAAAATAAATATACATACGATTTCTTTAATGTATATTTCAAGGGGGGAAAAGTGAGGATTTTATATGTATAAATCTTACTTTGTAGGATTTATGAGATTTATAAGTTATGGTATGAGTAAAAGCGGCATAATTCTATAAAAACTCCTATTCTTGGATTATTAACCAATGCTTTAGATTTCCAACTAATAAAAATGGGGACAATATAATGTACAGAATAGGTTAAATTTTACCATAATATGGTATTTTGGTGAACAATAAAATACATCTATCTGTCTATGTCATTGATATTTTTTTTCAGTTTATTCAAAGGGATAAAACTCCCTGAATTCTCAGAGAATAGCAGCCATATCATAGTAGAAATTATGATTCAAGAGAAAGAATGGTGTGGAGGGAATGTGGAAGGGATTTACATACCATGAATATAATCATATTTCTCTACAAGAATGTAATGAAATTGCCTTCCTTGTACTCATGCATGTTTTGTGGAATATTTCATCTTTCCAAACCAAGCCACGAACCATAAATTCCACAACATAAAATTTTCCATTGTTTTCACAACATAAAATTCCTCAAGGCATGACCTTATATTTATGTTTTGAATTCTAGCTATAGAGCTACCTGACTTGTAAAGAGTTGGAGATTTTTATGCTATATACTAGCTAGTCAGCTTCATGAATGAAGACAGAAGACTCAAGACTCCTGGGTCAGAGACTAAGGACTTTATGACTCGTTAGGTACTAAACTGCATAACTTTTATGATTTTACCAGTTTCCCTGGATCTCAAGTCCCTGGGCTGAGGTTGAGGATGAGGGGTCCAGAATGGCCAAGATCAGTGCTGTGCATACAGTTGGTTTGGATCACAGTTGAACCCAAAATTAAGGATTCCAAATCTTTTATGATGGGCTGCAAACAAACCTTCCTGACATTTACACCAGAGGGAGGCATTGTGTTTATTATACTGGATAGTAAATAATTCTTCCCTTTGCTCCAAGGTATGGGGAAACACTATTTATACATTCCATGGGTATTTACTATATACACATTGTTGTAAAGATAGAAAAATAGTCTGGAACAAAAGGGTGGTTAGTGCCTTGCTTGCGCAACATGAAGAAACAGAAGAGACCCAAGAAGAAGTCTCCCAACACTGTGCGTATTTTCTATGCTTGTACAGTAGCACATAGTATCTTGTCCTGTAACTGACTGTTCACTTTGTCTTCTTACTGCCAGTGGCAGTCTATTTCTTTATTGATCTTGAATCCTGAGCATATAGGACAGAATTTTTTAGAGTAATCGATATTACTAAATGAATAAGTGCAATTTTATCCAGTAAAATTAAAACGAGGAGTAAGAATATAGTAACTTCAGAATTCTACCGGTAAACTAGCCTGACTCCCTTTGCCTAGATCCTGTTCTGTTCTGAAAATAAAAAGAACTGCAAAAGAAGTTAGCTTGTTACACTGAAAGTTGTGAGTATGAGCAAACTTGGATTTAGAAACAGCAAAAGGTCAGGTAGTTCTGAGAGCATGTAAGAGTTGTACATCCTGTGGCTTTTTTTAGTTCTAAAGAAAGCAGTTTCTTATAAAAGAGCTTGGTCACCGGTTGAGTGCACTGCACTCTAATGACAAGGAGATATCATCAGTTCATTTCCTGAATTTCAAGAACAAGAGGGAGACTACACGTACTACAAATACTGAAACTGTGTTCTCTCAGCTTAGGGAACAGAGCTCTTCACAGTCTGACCTTAGCCTCTCTTTATAGGCTTGTCTTCTGCTACTGTCCTCTATTTAATCACCAAACTGTACTACATACAAGACAACAGAATACCCTGCTTCCATGGCCTGACTCAGGATCCTCTCTTCACTCAACGAACCAGCCCTTCTGTCTCCAACAGGCTAAATACTTCTAAAGGCTTAGTCAGAGGCAATTTTTCTTCATTCCAAGTTCTCTAGAATTGGTATATAAGCCCCTCTTATGGAGTACTTTATTCTTGTTTTAAATTATTAATATTTGTTTGTGTATAATATCCTTATACTCTACATTATGTTGTTCATAGTAGTGGTTCAAAAAAATGCAGGTGAAAACTCCAGTAAAAAAAAACGTCCCATTCCAAAGTACATTCTTTTTTCTTCCACCTAAAATAACACTAGGAATAAGTGTTCTATTTCTAAGTTAATGCAAAGGATTTTCAATTCCTGTGGATTCCATATTAAAAAAAATGATTTGAATATGTAGAAAGAGATCAGATTTGATGGAAGCTAAAATGATAAACACTATAAATATAAACACTGTTAATTTAACCAGATTATTCTATAAGCTTTTTGTAAATCCATTTAAAAGCAACATTTTTTTCTTTCCTTAGCATTGTATCTAGGAAAAGCAAGTTCAATGATTTTTATAAAATCATAATTTAATAAATGCCAAATATTCATTTAAACAACAAAAGGCTCTTGATTAACCCTACCAGATATTTTAAAAGTACAATTATTTTAAATTCTTAGTATCAGTATATTATTCAACAGACTATTTAATAGAAACAAATATATAGATATATGATACATAGCATATAACATGCAACTATATATGAAATATTTATAGATGATAAAGGTAGATTTCAGGTCAATTAATATTACATGGATTATTAAGTTAATACTTGAAACTAATAAAGAATAATATTCAATTAAAATGGATTGGGCAAATACAATTTGAGGATATCCAAAGCATACTATTCAACTCATTATTTGACAAAAATTTAAAAATTGAACAATATACAGAGCTGTGGACATTATGAGGAAAACATACAAACATACACAGTGCTGGGTAAAACTGATATCGAACCTGAAGTGAGTTCACTCACCCATTGCACAGCAAGTCAATCTCTGACACTGGGTGTAGTGGAAGAAAGGAGGAATTTTATTATTGCACAGTGCTGAGCAAGGAGAGAGGGCAGCTAACGCTGAAATCCCAAACTCCCCAAAAAGTTAAAAGGAAGGGTTTTTATTTGGGGTTTTAGGGAGGGGAGGGGGATCATATTGCCTTGCTGGTCAGAGCTTTCCCACCAGCCTGTCTTTGACCTTGAGACTACTTGCAGAGAGGAGGGATCCCCTGACCTTGCTGGTCAGCAGCTTTCCCACCAGCCTGTATCTTCTTGTGGGGAGGAGATGGTGAATCCAGGTGGTTGTCCTTGGCTGTGTCTGTCTCCATGGAGGATAGTGGCTTCTGGAGCCAGGGAGTAAGCAGGGAAAGAATGTTTTGGTTTTAACCTCATACGTTCTGGGTTTAAGTAAGGAAAATGATATCAGGGTCCATATCAAAACTGGTGCCATCTCCAGAGTGACATTTGGATTCATTACGGAATAATAAAATGTATATCATTTTTGAGTTAGAAATTCTACTTCTAAAAATTTATTTTATAAATTGATAGATACTTTTGGAAATTGCCAGAAATTCACAGATTTATAAATTCATATATATATATATATATACACACACACACACACGCACAAACAATTTTAGTGTTCTTCATCAATAGAGGACTAGTTAAATGTATAAAAACTAATATTTTTAGCAATTTGTGGATGCTTAGATGTTTTTCCAACTATTTATCATTATTATTTATTTTATTTTCACAACTGTTTGACTCATTTATTCCAAATAAATTGAAGATTAGAAAACCAAGTCACAAGAGATTTAATAGTTTGCTCAAAAACTGATCTATGAAGTAGTGAAACTGGTAAGAAAATTCACATAGTCTAGTGTCTGAATTCTGGCTCCCTTTATTATAATTTACTACCCCTTGTGGTACCTAAAAACAATATAACAGTATGCAGCATTAAAAATAAGGTAGATTTCTAGGGCCAGCCCAGTGGTGTAGTGGTTAAGTTCCTGTGCTCTGCTTTGGCAGCCTGGAGTTCATGGGTTCAGATCTCGGGCACAGACCTACACACCGCTCATCAAGCCATGCTATGTCGGCACCCCACATACAAAATAGAGGAAGATTGGCACAGATGTTAGCTCAGGACCAATTTTACTGACCAAATAAGGAAAAAAAAAAAAGTATGTTTCTGATGTAATCATACATATGTACCCACACATGTAAACATGGATGTGTATATATATCAAGGAACAAAACAGTATATATTATATACTAACTTTTGTTTAAAAATGGAATGTGTGTGTGTGTGTGTGTGTATGTCTACTTTCTCGAGGATATACAATCAGTTACATAGCTTGTAATTCTGAAGAGGAAGCTGAGATGATTTGGTACCAGAGGAGAATGAATGAGAAAAATTTTATTGCATACATTGTTATAGTGTATTTATTTTGAACTAAGTGATTATATTAAATTTTCCTGAAAATGTGCACACTATAAATATGAAATAAAAACTCAAAGATTGCAATTTTAATAAAACAGCCTACATGTTAACCACTATGCCACTGTGCTGGCCTCCAAGATTTCTTTCTTTTTTAAGGCTGAATAACATTCTTTGTATGTATACGCCATATTTTCTTTATCTAAACTAGTCAAATTCACTGAAGCAGAGAGTAGAATGGTGGTTGCCAGGGGCTGGGGCAAGGGGGAAATGGGGTGGTATTAGTCAAAAGGTACAAAGTTTTGGTTATGCAATGTAAATAAGTGCTAGAGATCGAGTGTCCAGCATTGTGCTTATAGTTAACAATACCGTATTGTATACTTAAAAATTTGTTAAGAGTGTACATGTTGAGTATTCTTCTCAATAATGATAAAAATAGCAAATAAAGAGAGCAAGAAGAAATTTTGGGAGGTGATGGATATGTTTATGACATATATTGAGGTGATGATTTCCTGAATGTATACTTGTCTCCAAACTCATCAAGTTGTATATATTAAATATGTAGAGCTTTTTGTATGTCAGTCATACCTCAATCAAGTAGATTTTTTAAATAGAGAAAATATAAAGAGTTCATTATGGTAAATTTGAATTTCAAGAAGAGTTAGAAACCAGGACTTTAGTTTCAGGGCAGTAGCACATCCCAGACATAAGCCCAGAGCTGGGTGGCTCTTTGACTGTTATGCCGTGTATCAGAAAGAAACATTCAGAACTGCGACTGAACAACTGCTACAAGAGACACGTGCTCAGGAATTGACTACTGCAACCATGACATCCAAGGATCAATAAGAATATGTTTTCTCCAGCATCTTATGCCTCAACTCCAGGTTACCTCTTCTATATTTCCTGCCCTGGCATGCTGGGGAGAAAGCCAAGATATATCGCTGTGTGTTAATAAGCATGAGAGTTCTTCAAGCTTTCAGTGGCATTGATTTCATGTTCGCTAATCCAATATAAATACCTAATTGAGCCTCTAACATTCACGGGATGCTTCCTTTGGTTCTGCATGGCAGTGGTCAGAACCACTGTCTCTGAGCCCTCCCTAACGAGTTAGGAGGATGTGCAAAATATATCTGCCCAGAGCTGGAATCAGAGCTGCATCAATTAAGTTTTGGCTTAAAGAGAACACCAAAATTTATGGGTAAAAGCGAAACACAAAATTAGCCCTGTTTTCCTATAAATCAAGAGCCTCAGACTCAAATGCAGGTGACAAAACAAGACAGGCAGCATAATTTAACTCAGCAGATGATCCTTCATCTACAGGAAGCTGGTGCTGTTCAGTTCCAGCCAAACGCAGCCAGGAAGAAATACGGTCCAAAGCTGCAAGACTGCCTTCTCTTGCTTTGCTTGCTTTGTTTTGTTGTTTTTGTTTGGTTTTTGCTCTTTGTGGAGGGGGATATTTTGCTTTGTGTTTGGGATGCTTAAATTGAGCCTCACCAATCACAAAAACGTTAGCAATAATCCTCAATTCTCACTCGTCTACTAGAAGAGTGCTCAAAAAACCATCAGTGAACCCATAAATTACCTAAGAATTTTGTTAAAATGCAGACTCTGATTCAGTAGATCTGGGGTGGTACTTAAGATTCTGCATTTCTAACAAGCTCCAACATGATACCGATGTTGCAGGTCCATGGCTTACACTCAGACTAGCAAAGTGCTAGTTCATTTAGAATTAATAAAACTACATATTAACCTTCCAGTTTTAAAATGTAAACTGCTAAATGACTAAAGGAATGCCTATTTGTTTAAAGAGAGAAAGCAGAAAGGAGAATATTTCCTAGTAACTCCGCCAAGTAATAATCTTATTAAATATCTATTTGCGAATCATATACTTGTAATATAGCAATATATTTCATTCCTCATATGTCAATATCATTTTATGGTCAAAATTTGACTTTAAGTTTGTATGGATTTTTTTGAAACAAAGTTATGGTGTTCAACACATGAACAAATAATACAACAAATATTTTTTTTTTGAGGGGGTGGACTTGTTATGTTATAAGTAAACTACAAAACTCTGAGTAATGTCTTAAACTGGCAACTGTTTCAGAATCACTCCTCACACAAACAGTTGTTGATGAGGGAGGGGATGTTGTTTCTAGTGCTCAGATATCTTATTTCCCTAGAGAGTTATTTGTAGGATAGTCAAGCATCAAAGGCAGGAGGAATGAGACTGGGGTCATTAAAATTCCTTGTTGCAATTAAAAATGGCTTGTGAACACAGCACATTCTTTTTATAGTTAACTTGCATTCATGCTCCAGAGGCTCTGTTACAATGTAATTTGGGAATCTCAGCTGTCCCATTTAGGATGTCCACTGTTCAATTTTGTAAATCAATGAGTTTTCCTAAATGGTGATTGCAATACTCTAGGTTAGTATATGATTACAAAATGATCGTTTCCACAGTTTTCATTTCTAAAATAAATGAAACCACTGGTTTCTCTTTTTATAATCCTTAAACCATCCTTACTGATTGTATGATTGCCCATATGGTTAAGCAAAACTTGGAAAGAAATGATTTTTTGCCTGAGTGACTACTATTTAATTATACTTTAATGGCATGTTCCTTTCTTAGGAGTCACATTCATTGCTAAATCCTCTATCTTAAGAAATTACTGCTAAAATATAAGCTGATAGTGATTATATAGAGTCCTAAGAACACTTGCTTGGAAATAGCGATTTTTTGAAGACTGAAATGCTTTCAAGACCCACAGAATTAAATCTTCGTTCCTGTCATCACTTTAGGTGCTAGGCCTAAAATGAGGTGAAGATATCAGGGAAGAGAATTCATGAAAGTGACGTGCATACTTAAGACCAGAAAATATTTGCCTTGAGAAAATTGTCACAAGAATTCTCCATCTATGCCATGTTTAGCAGTGTCCGCTCATTTTATTTGTGCTTTATTACATGAAACTAGGTAAGATTTTAAAAACAAAACTAAGAATGAAAATTAACATACTGATATATGCTTACATTTATCATGTAAATTTAACTAAAAGTGCGAGCTCAAATTAATGGCTTTCATTGCTGCATGGTGAAAGCCTTTGGGGTATTTATGAGAAATAAAAATTAAAAATATGAATATAGATGAAAATTTAAAAATAGATACTTATTGTGTAATTAATATATTTTGTGTTGCTTACATGTCATCTTGAGCAAGTCACTCAACATTATTTCTCTCAGTGTTTTAATCTGAAAATGGTGATAATAGGTGGTGTCATCACTTTGGATTGTCTTGAGGATTGAATAGATAATACATAAGGAGAACCTTGCACTATAGGTCATATATCATCATTGTTACAATGTAACATGTGTCAAGGTAAGTACTTGTCTTATCTTATGATTGATGGAGATATATATATATATATTTATACATAAATATTATGTATTTATATGTAATATATACTTATTTGTTCATGTTTTGCTTTATAGAAGAGGACACTACATGTCTGTTAAATACCTTGCTCAAGGACACAAAACAAATAAGTGGTCGAGATACTATCATTATCATCACTACACCATCATAAATTATTACTATAATTTTTGCTGTTGGATGTATTATATATTAGTTTATTCAGCATTCATTCAGCAACTATTGAGTGCTTATTCTGGGGTAGGTGCTGCTAATCTTTGTCCTTGAAATACATCAGAGAACTGAGCTGCCATGTTGCTTATATACTAGTGTGGTAAGACAGGTACTTATTAGTCAATGTACTACACTGATGCAATACACTGTTACATGTATTAGTTACATGTTGGTACTGGATATTTTTCCAAATGTCACTCTGGGGTCGCTCTCCATGCATCTCTGCCGTGATCTCTATACCAAGTGGCAGACCTGTATAAAATAATTCCACTGTCCTCCTCAAACTTCTGGCTTCTGATTAATTCAGCCAATGGAAATATCCTGCAGAAAGTAGGGAAGGATGGAGAATCCATAACGGTGTTATTCCTCCGATCCTCCCTCTGCACCCAGCTCTTCAGCTCAGGCTGTGTCCCTTGACCAATGGTCACTACTTACATCAATGCAGTCTTCTCCCCATGACTCTTGCCATTTTCTATAACTGCTCTCTTGCCCTGCCCTTCTGGACCTCTTGGTAGGAACAAGGTAGTTCTACACCATACTTTACACTCCCATCCATTTCAAATATTTGTAAATAGTACTTGCATGAAATCTCTCTCCAAAAATATAATCCAATAATACGACGTTTTTTATGATTGCGGTCCTGATTGATACTAAAAACTAGGAGGTGTTAGTGCTGGGAAAAAAAACATTGAAAAGGTTGAAAAAGGAGAAGCTGAGGGAGAGTGCTGGGCCTCAGTTGCAAATTTAAATAAGTGGCTGAGATAATTCTCATTGGTGACATGGCTTATAAGCAAGTATATGAGAAAGATGAAGGAGTTACCTATTTGGTTATCTTATGAAAGACTATTTCAGAAAGAGTGAACAGCTAATGAAAGGGCCCTGATCTGGGAGTTTAGCCACAAGGAAGCAAATGGTGTGTGGAGCAAGAAAACAATATGAAAAGTGGAAGGCTATGAGGCCAGAGAAGTGACAGGAAGTCAGATTATTTACAACTATGAATGCCATTGTTACAGCTTTGGTTCTAGCTGAACTTGCTAGAACCAAAGCTGCTTGCTTGGTTTTCTACAGAAAATTAGAGATATGTAGGGTTTTGGGCCAATGAGTGATATGAACTGACGTGTATTTAAAGGATCACCCTGACTTCTTTGTTATGAACCTACTGTACAAGAAGTAAGATGGAAGCAGTGACCTGTCATGAGGCTAAGTAGCTTAGACTAGTATCCCATGTCAAATATATATTCAAAATATAACCGATGATATTTCCTAAATAAGATATGAATGAGAATTCATACAAATACAGAATCATTTCATGAAGATGCTGAGAAATTCCAAGTTTTTATTCACTCTCAACAATATTTTACTGGGTAACACAAGGCAATGTTAAAAATAAAGTGAGATAATGGCAGATAATCAGAAGGAGTGTGTTTGCTGAACTTGCTCTCTACTGCCTGAAGCAGTGCCAGACACATAGAAGTGGATGTAGATATTTATGTAAAGCTATTTCCTTTGATCTATAAGCAGACTAAGCATGTGATTCCATATATATCACAGGGCTTATGGTATTGGTAATATATTACTGATGACATTTGTATGTTAACAAAAATTGATCGTTCTGCATTTGGATCTAGCAAGATACATGTTCACATTTTTTATTGTTGATCCAATTGAGGATATACCAAATAATAAAGGAGACTAAAAAGGATGATGTTAATTAGCTCCAATAGTAAATATGGCCAGTACTGGTATCTTACATGTTATAAGTTGGCGTGGAAAAAATGGTGCCTAAATAACATTTCATTTGTTTCAATTACAAGAGCAATACTGTGTGTGTAAACATTTTCCATCTTTTCTGAATTAAACATACCTACACACACACGCCAATATTTTCAACACACACCAATATACATCACACTTCCTTAACAATTTTTAATATTTTTCTCATTTTTTATTATTTATAATTAGTGATTTAAAATAAACAAATACATTTTAGATGGTACATTTGAAATAGTATGATGTTCATGTTACAGTTCAATAATGTTCATAATAATATTTAAAACATTTTTGTAAATATAAAAATATAATTTATAAAAGTATAAGATATAATGAAAAACATCATTTGCCAAGAAATAAGTGAAAAATTTGCCAAGAAATGAGTGCAAAATAAAATACAATTTACTTGTTTTAGGGACTGACTCTAAATCTCAAAAAAGGGTAAAATTTAAATGTATGTAATGCCGTCAATTGTACATACAGTAGTGCGGTTATGATTTTTTAAAATTTTGTTCTTAAAATTAACTTAATTAACTTTAATTGTTCCACTTTTTCCCATAATACTATTCACAATCTTTTTCAAGATTTTAATTTCGAGCTTTTCTTAGTACGTTTTACGAAAAGGTAGTGAACAATATTTAATACCAGTAAAATTAAAGTCTCTTTATATGTAGTAGTATAGACAGAAAGATGCAGATGTAGATATAAGGAGGCACAATATGGATAGATATAGATATATCTGAGGTACTAGAAAAAAGGTTAGGTGGATAACACAATTATCTTAGTATTTATTGACATTTTAAAATTGGTGTTCCTTATACACTTTATATTTAATAAAATATCGCATAGGCAAAAAGGATGTTAAAACCAGCACAGCACCTAGTGGTGTTCTGTTGTGTGATAAAATAACTGAAAATGTGATAATGAGTCTACTTTAAAATTCTCTAGTGATTTCTATATATACTTATTCTGTGCATACTGGATAGTTCTCAAACAGTTCTGACTTAACATGAACATTTTGAAATACATATTTTATCTATTGATAAAGGACAGCTAAAGTGGGCTTTTGATCTTTGTAAACTATCAGTGGGGAAACATTAGCCTTGATAATGATAATATATACTATATAATTACATATTCCTTGTAAGCAGTAACCTCGTTTTTTTGATATTTGGATTTCTTAGTGATTTCCATAGTAATAAGCTAATAAAAATCTTTAAAAGTAAATCTAAATCAATTAAATTAATTAAACAAAACTTTATTGAATGCCTATTTTGTGCCATAAACTCTGCCAGACATTGGACATACCACGATAAAAAATGACAAGTGTTTTTGCCTTAAGATAACTTAACTGGGAAGAAAGTCAAGCACATGCATGCACACACACAATACTAGTAGAATAAGATAACAGCATTTGTAATCTATCTTTGTGCTTTCAGTGCGCAGTTGCAGCATGCGGGAGTGACAGGGAGTTCATGAAGCAAGCATAAGATCAAAGGACATTTTAGCCATAAATCAGAATCTATAGAAGAATCTTTCACCACAAAATAATATTTAAGCTTTTGTTGATATATTCATATTTTTTAATTATGTTAATATTTTATTATATTTCAACTTATTAAAGTAAAGGAGGACACACCATAAATACTCGCTGATGTTATTCTGATATTTTCTAATTTTATTTTTCTCTTTTAAAATTCACTAGTCCACTGGGCACATTCAAATCAAACATTATGCTTATATAATGGACTATATTTCTATTTTTTATATATTTATATCTGCTTTATATCAAATTTTTACCCAAATTTTTATCATGAGTGTTTATTAATGTCATTAAATTTTTACTAAGATTATTTATGTCTGCAGATTATTTCATCACATGGATGTACAAGACATTACTTAATAGCTAACAAATATCTATTATTCAATGTGATGTCAATGAATGCATTCAATTTGTGATAGGATCTATAACATTTACATAATATTTGTCATTGGAAGTTAAACAAACATTCATTTGGTGCTTACTACACATTATACCTTGTGCTATTGTTTTCAAAAATGAGAAGTAAAATAAAATATAATACTTACCAGGAAAGATAAAACACAGACATGCACATACACATACCCACAGAGAAAGGACTCAATGAGAGTGTATGGAAGTATAATACAGTGATTCAAGTAGGTCAAAATCCTAATTCCTAATTGTTTCACTCAAATATATTGAATTTATTTCAATATATTTTTTCTGCCCTGGATATAAATGGGTCCTTATACATATATAAAAGTTTTCAATGCATATTAATTACTGGTGTATCCCATTAATTCTGTTTGAAACAATTTACTTAATCCCTTAAATGTGAGTTTCTATTTCCAATTCTAATGCATATCTCATATGCAAGTTTTACTTATATAACAACAAATATTAATATATTTTTAACTTGACAAGGAAAACTATAAAAAACAATGACACATTCAACAGTTAGAGGCACAAATATGTAAACTTAATCATTCATAATAACTTAAAATATGTTCACAATAATAAAATCACACTTAATTACTGT